CATCTTATCAGTTAAGTTACTCGTTATAGAACGCCTCTAAAACTAGACGCGCCACTTTTCTTTTATTTATTATTACATTAACCGGGTGTGTTCGCGAGTGCGTGTTTTGATAGCATCATCCGCGAATGCCCCACGACGCGCGAGTATGAATGAATGCATGAACGTACATAAATGCACGAGAAGAGGAGAAAACGCTCATCATCGAAGAAGCGAGAGCGAAAAGTCCGAACGGCAAAGCCGTCCAAAAGTCCTCTCTCCTTCTCTTTCATTATCGACATTTGATTAGCCATGTAATTGTAGCGATTTCTCCAGCTCGTGTTTCGTTACCGTGCTAAACTACCGCCGTTTATTATCACTTATCAGCGGCACTACGCGCGCGCGCTCAACTTTTGATTTACGTATGGCACTATGTAAATTACGCGAACGTATATCCCACTTTTTCCTGTGTGCGGTCAATGGCGAAAGGTGATGGGGGAGCGACAATCGTAGATGCCTTACATCTCTCCGCGACAAAAGAACGGGATTTTTGCGGAATTTCGCGCGTTTTCTTCCCGAGTCTATCGAAATTCGGAACGGTGGATCACGAGGACGATTTATATTGTCGGTGTATCGCGTATCGATAAATCCCACAAAGATGGGAAGGGGGAACGTACACGTACGAGCACGCATGTTTACACCAAGATGACGATTGTGAGAAAATGACAACGCCGACGACCCTGCGCGATGTCGGAACCTCGGCCAAAGTGAAGGCTGCCCAAGTATCGTAGTTCGAGTGTGCGTGTGTTTTACGGTTAACGTGTTTATTGTACAGCAGAATTGTCCCAAAGTCTAGCGGAGGTTCTCGACGAGCTCTTGTTCTGCGAGATATCCACCCGATTCACTCCCTTTTGACCTGCCTAACGTTTTAATCCGAACTCTCCTCCCCGTCACTTACCCCTGATACTCTCGAGAGTTGCTGAAACACGGTTCGAACGCGATAGGGTCGAAACGCGAGATCGTTGAAGGAAGACTGAGTAACGACGAGTCTCTCGAAGAGAATTAACTCCCGATGCGCGATCAAAATCGCATTCGCGACAATCAAATGAGATTTCCGATCATTTCCGATACCGATCGCATATCGTCAGAAAAAGTGTTTCCTATATATAATTATATATATATGTATATCAATTTTCTCGTAATATATTCGATATTTCTTCACAATTTTCTCATATTCCACAATTCACTCCTAAAAGCACCATAAATGAATGATTATCAATGGATGATTATAGGGCAAGATGACACTCTGCGCAAACTACTACTTACTCGCTAGAAAATTGGATCGCTTCGAACGCGTCGTACCGCGTCTCGAACTCTCGGACTATCGGCCATCGATCGACAATCGTTTAAAAAAAAAATCAAAGCTTGATCTATCTTTCTTCTTTAGCTCCCCACCTCCTACACACGCGCCGCTCATCCGTTTGGGTTTGACATCACGTTCCGAGTTCTGGCAACCACCCTATGCTTATCCCTCTTATTCTATTATCCTTCTCTCTATTTTTAAGATCGAAACTTCTTCCGTCCTCCGGAAGTTCTCACGCTTTCCCTTTGACAGTGTCCTCCGTCCACGCGCATATTTTCGCTGTAGTACCAGACAAGCATGCTCTATCCGTGGATAACACCGGTTTTCTCTTAATCACTATTAATTTAAATATTCAATATATTATTGTAATATATATATATCTACCTCTCTGCACACACACACACACATCCGCCCAGTGATTCGATCAGAAAGGTAATGTACAAACGCATGCATATATACGTGGAATCGCGATGAAATTTCCTCCTCGTTCTCCCTAAAGGTATTTCCCATTTAAAAACCCTTTTCTCGTAGCATCGTCCATCTCTCCCTTCTTTACTCCGTTTTTATCGCCCTCTTCTCCTTTCACAACCTCCCGAATCTCGCGGACGCGCGCGCGCGCACACGCCCCGGAGATCCAGGACTAAATTCTTATTATAGCAAAATTAAAATGAGATATTACCTGATACGATCTACATTATATACGCACGTGCACATTAGCCGCTTGCATTTCTTGCGCTCGGCGACAGCGCTACTTACGTCTTTCGGAACGTAAATGCTAAAGAGAAAATACCTATAAATATATTTTATATATTGTATATATATATATATAATATATAATATAATATATATGTGTGTGTATGTGTGTCACATCACCGTACTTTGTTTTAGCATCTTTTTTTTTCTTTATACTTAATATAGAAAAAATATAGAATTTACTTCACTTTGAACTTAAATATAATAAACTTTTTTCTCTCCCTCTCTCTCTCGTCGATTATTATAATATATAAATATACGCTTTTGTTATGTGCATCTGTATTGTTGGTGTGCCTCTCGTGTTTTACACGTATGTATGTGTAAATGTATATATGTGAGTGCATGTATGTTTCCTTTTCTTTATGTGAAGTGTTTGCATGTGACGTTTCTCGATATATATAAGTAACAAATAATAATATACAAATGTCGTTCGCGCATGTCTTTCGCGCACTCACCGAAGCTCGTGCGTACGCGAATTTTTTTTTTAGCGTGCGTTTAGTGCGTGCAGAGTGAGTGCGTGAGCAAGAGTGCGTGTCTTCGTTCATGCGTTTAAAGAAGAGTCCAGAACGAAGATTGCCGCGGTATATATATATATATATATATATATATATATATATATATATATATATATATATACGGAAAATATAGAAGGAACTGGAGCAGAGTAACGAAACACACGGCGAACGGAGACATTTTCACGCGACAAAAAATGAATTAAAAAATAAAGAATAAACAAAAAAATTGAATCTCTTGTTTCGGAAAGATCGAAAAAATACTAATCTTCTAACGCCCATCACGAGATGAACGATTTAGATATATATATAATATATATATTTATATATATAATATATGTAATATGTATTTTATATATAATATACCTCGACTTACTCGGAGCTGCGACTTGAGCATATATTCGTTTAAAAAATGGCAACGATTGACAAGAATTTTTGATGATAAAAAAATAGAAATGCAGACAACGACGAAGGAGCTTTTTTAGGGAGGAGGGAGAAGGGCGGGAAATATCAAGGGGACGATGACAAGAGTCTAAAAGGAAAATATGGAACGTTGAATAAACTCGATATCGAAGCGAGGAAAAAACGGAAGAGTACGCGGAAGAGTTTTTTCAAGAGTCTCTCTCTTCCGCTGTTAAGCTATCCTCTGTTGTTCGAATAAAAATTTGGAGTATCGTCTCACATTAGGGGCCTCGTAGTGAGATCCCGTTTGATTAGCTTCTTCCTCCTGTTTTGTCTTTCTTCGAAACGAGATTATACGCAGAAACGAATCGTAAGGACACATGGTACCGAGCTCCTTCTTGCATACGAAAGACGAACATCGCGATTTTGCATCTTCGCATTTAATGGAGCCCCATGAATGGCTCTTGCGCGCGAAAGCGCGATGCTCGTTCGCGAGAACGAAGGAGGAAGGACGTCTTGTGTCTTGAAAAGTAACGAGAGATTTACCTACGTCCTTTCTCCCAGCGATCCCGGAGAAGAAGCGGTACATACTGATATTATATATGTATATAGAATAAAATATGGACGTATATATATATGACGGATGTGCGATCCCATATACATCCACACGTTACATACATATATATATACATATATTATTAATGCAAGGTAATATAGCGATAATGTGTGATTACGCCTCTCTAACGAAAACAAAAAAGACACTACATATGCATCGTCGATCCCTACGTGAAATGAGTATCGTTTTTTTAATGTCGAGTTTAAGCAATCTACTCGATTATTATCTAGTCGAAAAATACACTCGCGAGAGCCGCCAGCCCATCGACCGACCTCGTTTATACGCTCGTTCTTCCTGTTTGAGAGCGGACGTACGGCCCCTCGACTTACGCATTGTATTCCATTCTCCTTTTTCATCTATTTTTTTTCTGCAATTTCCTCAATATATTCTTTAATAATTTTATCTCTTTTTTTCTTTCTATAACGTTACGATTCAAGACCTTCCGCCGTTCCATCAACGAGAAATGCGCGAAAAGTACAAAATCTAAATTTTGTCGACAAAATATCATTCGTCATCTCTTCCATTCACATTTACATTCTTTCATTTTCTTTCACTTTCGTGCTGTCAGATTTCTTGATTGCACATATGTATATTGTACATATATTTATATTTGTACAAATTATATGATATAAATATAAATATATACACATACATATACATATGTATATATATATATATATATATATATATATACATATACATATTATATATATATATATATATATATATATATATATATATATATATATCGAGAGGGGAAGCCGGATGGAACGAACGCGGCGTCCGCTATAAATTCGCTACGTGATTTCATGGCGAATCGAGGGGCCTGTGACCCTTTCTTCTTTTCCTCCTCTTTTTCACGTGTAGGATGTGTCAGTGCGAGATCATTTATCAGTGTATTCACACTGTATTCGTGTGTGCATTGTGTGTATGATTCGTGTACATGTGGGTAATTCTCGGTAATTTTCGCTGTCGCACTCGCGACCACAGCTCGCAGATTCGTCGAGTTCGGCAACTGTACACTCGGCAACGGAAAAGCCCTTTTCAGATCGATGATAAGAACTTAATGCTTTCTACGCGCGTCTCGAACGAACGCTGAGATCAAGAACTATCATACGCCTTCTTTGCTTGGAAAGAATGAAAGAAATAATACGTGAATGACAGAGTAAAAGGTTGCCTAGTGCGCAATTATTGTGAAATTATCGAGGTGATTCTCTTTTTGTCTAGCCCTTTTGGCACAAAATCAAACATCGCAGGTTAGACAAATAAAATATAGATACATATCTTCCTCGATTCATCATCGATTGACAATTGAAGATACGAATGCATAAGCATGCTTTGATCGAATATTATATATATATATATGTATATATAAACATATGTATGTATGTATAAGCTTAAAAGCGATCAAAAAATGGAAAGTTATATCTTTGGACATGATTTGAACGTGGTTCGTTATTCAGTCATAGTTACTAAAAAGAAAAAAAGAAAATCGAGAAAGCTCTAAGATCCATCATGCTAAGCAAGCAGCCTCCGTTTCCAGCAAACGTTCGACCCAAAGAGAGATTACAAGAACGAGCGGAGAGTTTTTAAAAACAGCGAAACACCGACGGTGTGAAGCGTAGTCGAGAGGTCGGCGATGAGGCCGGTCGGTCCGCGACTCGATCGATCCATGTTCGGACCGTAGCCTCCGCGATGAAAAGAAAACAGAAAGTAGCGTCTCGGTAACCATCAGTCTCGCTACTAATAATATCAGTCGCAGAATATCGCAGCGTCGATCTTTTGCGGGCGATAGAGAGGCTCTTTCTCACACACGTCAGTCCGGACGGTACGACGGTAGCACTCATTGGATTACCGTCGTACCGTCTTCTCTCATACCTCGGAGCTTATTAGAGTACTCGAGCCGCGAGCCCAATCTATGCAAGCGTCAAGAGACGGGGAACAGGTGAGTGGAACACAGGAGGGCCGGGTAAGGGAACGATGACGGTGGGTGAGTGTATCCATCCCTGTCTCTGTCTCTCTCTCTTTTTAAATATATATCTCGTAGAACTTAAAAGCTGGCTTCGTTGTATCCGGTCAGCGGAAATTCGACCAACTCGACGACGATCGACCCAAACGAGCGATTCGTCGAGGCGAATTCCCGTCGCGTAAGAGATTATTGGCAGCCGTGGAATTGAGACATTGTGCGCGTTCGGTCCCCTGACGACGACGGCGTCACCCCAGCATGGTAGAAGGATGACAAGGACGACGGCGCGACGACGATGACGACAGCAAGGACGAGAGGTCGACCCCGAAGACGCCGAGAGAATCGTCGCGCAGACATCGCTGTTGTCGCCAACGTTGTTCTCCACTCTTATCGTCGCGCGTGCTGGAGCAGTTATTAGCCGACCGTGGTGTTCGAGGAGCGGTAGAAGGTAAGTTGCTGATGCAGCCGCTGCGTGCACCAGCGGTGTCATATTACGGGAGACTGACGGGCGGCGGCTCGACGGGGTCCCTCTTAGGAGAAAATACGGAGCACCTGCAGAACGCGCCTGGAACAGACCGGGCAGCTTGGATCCTGGCTGTCGCAGACCCGATTGCCGCAGTCCATGCAAAAGTGATTGTGTCCGCAGGGCACCAACGCCGCGGTGACTTCCTTGTCGCCGCATACGACGCACTCGCGTTGCCCGCGGGAGTTGCTCAGAAGCGAATCCGTGGGCGACGCCGGGCTCGCCGTCGCCGGCGGCGACGGCCTCGAGGGTAGAGTGACGCTCGGGAACGACCAGATCGACGACGTCGAGGTCGGCTGCGATTCGAACGACGGTGATTCGCCCAGTCCCTCGTCTCTCTCTATCCCGGCGCCCCAAATGGCGACGATGTCGTTCAGTCCCATTCCGCCGGTGCTGCTGGACGAGCTGCTGCAGCTGCCGCTGCTCGAAAACGCGCCGTTCGAGCTGCTGGAACTGTTGGATCCCGGTTGATCGATACCTTGAATGCCGAGGACCGAGCCGAGACCGCCGCGACAGAGAGCGCCCAGCAGATCGGTCTCGTCGCCGACGATGCCGGGCGCGGCGCCGGTTCGCAAAGTGATGTGCGCCTGGATCTCGCGTCTGGCCGCCTCTACGCTATCGGGCAGGCCTGTTACCTCGAATACCGGCTCCTTGTCGCGACTGGGCGTCACGATATAGGTATGCGTCTGATGCTGAATTCGCTTGATGGTCGCACCCTTCGGCCCGACGACCAGACCTACCACTCTGTAGGGCACTCGTACCTGGATCGTCACGTGACCGGGCACGGTCGCGGGTGGCCCGGGGGGCGCGCCGAGCAGGGCGCCCAACGAGCTCTTGCGCGAAGCGCGTATCTGCGAGAAATGCTCCGCGGCGGAGAGAATCTCGCGCTTCGCACGGGCCACGTCCTCCTTGCGACCTGTGACGACGAATACAGGTTCTTCACCGCGCACGGGCGTCTTGATGTAGGTGTTCGTCTTCGCTCGAAGCGCTTTGATCTTGCAACCTGCAATCAAACAAGAAATATTCATTATGCGCGTGAATTATTGTGCGCCAATATCGTTTTCATTTTTAAATCAAGTTGATCATAAATAAACGCTTGATAAAATGTACGTAATACCAGAGAAAATTAATTGGAATGCTTCTATTATTTGTGTACGCGTTTCGCATATTATTATTCATTCCTCGCGTCTCTCGCGTTACATCTCTGCGCGAAAAACCGCCCACGCAGTAATAAGCTTCGAAAAGTGGCAGCGCGCGTGCATGATGCAATTGTTTGCGTATCCGAGCGAGGGACGCGGCGAAGAACGGAAAAGAAGGGAGAGAGACTCGTAAGATGCCGCGCGAAGCAAGAGAGCGGCGATAGCGCAGCGAGAGAGCAGGGCGCAGGAAACTGGAAGGAAGGAGGTCCCGACCCGGTCTGGTCCTCGGTCTCGCAGACTCTTTGGCCTTGAGCCAGCGCAATGCTAGCAATGCAGGTGAACCACTCCTCCCTCCTTCCTTCTTTAGCTCCTGGCGCTCCTTCTCTCGTCGCTTCTTCCTCGCGCTCTCGCCGAGCATCTCCTTCTCGCGCTCGTCCTGAGAATCTCCCGTACGCCTCTTTTCTCCGTTTCTCCTTTTCGTTCTCTCCCTCTCTCTCTCTCTCTCCCTTTCCTCCCGGACCTCCCTTTCATTCAGTTCACTCTCTCCTTCGTCGCGATGAAAGGAGAGAAGACGACACGCGTTGCATCGCATACCAGGCAGCTTTTTCGTCTCTTTCCCGATCCGCGCGCTGCATCGTCGTCTTTTCTCTCTCGTCGTTCTCTCTCTCGCGATCAAATTTTGCATTTTCCGGACGCGCGTCGCGACATAAGAAAGCGAAAGGACGCGACGAGACAGAATTCAGGGCGAAAGAGCGTGGGGACGGGAGCAAGGCCGCGAATAAATTCCAGAATTACTTTGTCCGCGCGCGAAGAGAATGCGCTTGGGAATTTGCGCCGACTGGGCGTAGAACGCCCTTGCCTAAGGTATATCCTTGCGTAACGACAATGTCACGGGCGTTTCTTCAGAAACGCGCGTTGCGACATCGATATACTGCTCAACAACACGATAAACGATTAACGACACGCGAATGACAAGGATTTGTGAGAGAATATGAGAACGCTAAAAGATCGTTTCAAGAAAATGAGTGTTATTAGAAACACAATTTCACTCAATTATGTATTAAGAAACCCGTGTTTTCGAAATCCATTGGAATTTTAAAATGTCATCTTACGTATCGTAAATACATATTTACATGATAGAAAAATAAAAATAAATGGTTTGAAAATAATCGCTAGTTCCAGGCATTATAGGAAAAATTTGTCATATTCGTAGGTACGAAAGGAAGGACTCGAAGACCTCGCTCGCGTGCAAGTAAGCACTGAAAACGCACGTTTGCCGGATCGCAGCGCGTCCAGCCGAGTTTCCGCTTCTTCAACATTCTCACTCCCTTATTCCGGAAATTCGCCTAAGGCAAATCGGAGCGGCTTTGGCGCGACTAAATAACTCCATGTGTGGGGAGGTAGAAGCAGGTGGAAGAGGTGGATCGGAGAATACCGTGCAGGCGCGCGCGAGAGACGAAGTTGTGCACAGGTATACGAGGAGAGTCAAGACCCGGCGAGGAGAAGAAGGTTCGCCGCGCTCGTAGAACCTCGAGAAAGGTGGCGACGATGGTTGCGACGGTTGATGCCGATGGTGGTGGTACAAACGGAGAAAGAGGAGGCGGTGGGGCGTGGGTCATAGACAGTTGAAGGGCCGCGGCTAAGGTGAGGCGAGACGAAGAGGTAGGGAAGAGAGAGGAGAAAGAAAGAAGGCCTCGTCCGTCGAGAAACGCGCTGCCGCTCGGAGGACCCTTTGCTTTGTTCGCCTCGTCTAAGGGACGACGAGAGGATCGAATGGAACGAGTCTTCCTCCGATCCGCCGCGCTTCTTTCGTACCGCGGAAACGTACATCGGCGAATCCGGATCCGAATGCGCGCGATGAGCAATTATTAAAGCGCTCTTCGGCCCGGCAGATTTTTGCAATCTGCGATAAGGATCTACGAGGATTTGAGAATTCGCCGAGAAATATGCAAAGCGATTATAAATTTACTCTCTTTCTGCCCACCGGAGGCAGACTTGTCATTCATACTGACTGATGCGCACGAGACACGTGGTACGTTCCCCGAGTGCAATGATGAACGAAAGGCACTCTCGATGAAGCTACGTCTCTTCATTCCCACGATACATCACGCTAGAATGACGTTGCTAAAATCTGCAGCAGCAGCAGCAGCAGCAGCAGCGGCGGCTCCCCAAAGGCCGCAGGATCAATAGTTACAGCAGGCTTCCACTAGCGGCCCATGGCTGCATTATAGACGCTCCGTGTAACTCGAATGCATAGGGCGTCGAATATACGCTGCGCTGACTTGTATTCCAAAATTTGTTCCCGCTATAGCTTCGATATTATTTCTTGTTTATTTCATCTTATCGTCGTTAATCTTTTCGGATTATTTTTAAAATATTTATATCGCGAAATATATTAATTTAATGAAATTATTTTAATTAGATGTTTAAGACGAATTTTTGGAATAGATATTTTCCGAGTAAAAATTCCAAAAGGAAATAATGCTTACAGCTACTGTACTTCTTAGGAAGGTTAAAAGCATGTTTCAACGAAGAAAAGATGTAAGAGACACTCGTGGGCCATCTGCTCATCTTTGCTTTAATTACGCTCAACAGAAAGACGCTTTACTAACACTAGGCTTCATGAGAAAGAATTTTCAAAAAATTAAAAGATCTTTATGCGAACTTGATCATCAAAATATCGTGCTCTAAACTTTACAAAATACGATAAAGATATATTATCACGTAATTTTTTTCTATTTTATTATAGAGAAATATTTTATTTATTTTGAAATATTTTAAAAAATTTTCCTTTTTAAAACATTATTTTAAGCTAATTAAATAATCATAGTCAGTCTGAGGGCAATTGATTTTTTTGAGAAAATTTATATTAGCAGAAAATTCATCGCGGATAACCAACACTCGCTTTGTCGCGCATAAAGAAAGAAAAGCTTAAGTTTAAGATTACAGATACGCAGTTTCCTCGGTCGGCGACGGCAGAGTTTGTTTAGGGCCCGATGGGCCCTTAAGTAGCGGTACCCTTTGGCGTCGTGAATGCGTCCGTAGGTCCGCGCACGGAGCTGGTATCACGAGTTTCTCAGGCAGGTCAGTGAAACTGCGCCGTCAAGTTGAAGGCCAACACCCCCACAATGCAACGGCCGAGCACCACCGTAGTCGCTCTCTCCCCACCATATCGTTAGATCCTCCGCCTCCTCTTCCTCCCGCGTGCCTATCATCCCTTTCCTTCTCGTCCCCTTCTAACGTTAACCCCACTCGACACGCGCGCGAACGATATAGTCGAGAAAACTCCAATAACTTGCCGATAACTCGTTTCTGCCGTCGACGCCGCCTTTGTACAAATACTCCCTCGCAAAGTGGACTTATCGCCCTGGAAACGATTAATCTTCCCCCTGATTTCGCGCATTTTTCGCGACGCACATCTGGGAGTTTCCCAAAATCGGGACTCTTCTTCACGAGGGTCACAATAATCACAAGTAACAATATTATTATCGAAAATATCAAATATACATAAGACCGCGTTTATATTTTGCCGTGAATATTTTCTAGTATATGAAACGCATCAGAGACTCGACGGTTAATTCTATTATCCAAAATCTAACGAAGAACAAGTTCCAGTGAATGGAGTTATGCCCTCACATTATGGAGCATCGCGGCGAGCGATTCTCTCTCTCTCTCTTTCTTTCTTTCTTTCTCTTCCTCTCGGCAGCTCGACCAAAGAAGACGTAGGAACACGCGGTCATTCGTGCGTTGACCATCGGGCAGTCCAGATCGGCGAGTGCGCAGGTGTGGTAACGACCCGTCCATCGTCGTCTCCTTCTTCTCTTTCCTCTCCTTCATTTTCTCCCTCTACACGCGAGAGATTTCCTCTCTCTCTCTCTCTCTTTCTCTCGCTCTCTCCCGTGCGTCGCCTCTCTCTTGCCATCTTATTCTCTCTCTTTCTCTCTCCTTTACTGACCCCTCGCGAAGGCCAGAAATTCCAGCCTCCTCTCGAAATAGATCGATGACACTCTCGACGACTAAGCGTACGCACGCACGCACGCACGCATCGTTTCTCTCTCTCTCTCTTCCTTTCCTCTGTTTTCCCCTTGTTTCCTCTCTCTTACTCCCGCGGAGGAGCTGATGTCTCTGAAATAACCGAGGCAAGGCTCACTCATCGGACTAAGGAATAAGGTGCAACGCACGCATCCGTTCATTCTGTCCTCCGTCGTCGTTTCTCTCCGTGTATCTTCCTTTCCTCTCTAGCGCCCCTCCCGTTCCCCTCCCCCGGCTCCTTTTCGCATCCTTCTCCGTTCTTGTTCTTTAATCACTCTCGCTCTCTCGGTCGATCCTCCTTTCTCCCTTTCCTCTCGTTCGCAGTTGCAACTGCCGTCGCGTCCGACACTGTCTCGAATGGCAGTGGAGGTCATACTATATTAAGATTGAACTCCACTGACACCGCGGCCCAACGGCGTTCATTCTCCTCCTACTCTTTTCCTACTCTTTCGCTCCTTCTGTCTTTTCCTCTCTGTCTTCCGCTTCTCTCTCTTGCCACACGCCTCGCACTCTTTAGCTCCGGACTCGAGCAGCAATCCTCGTGATAATACCATTCGTTCGTACGAGAAGGTTCTCGAGATCCATCGAGGTTCCATCGAGATCCCACGATGGAAAATGTAGATTATGCCAGGCCGTTAATCTTCTATGGAAATGCAGCGGGACGATGGTCCTTGAAAAGATAGTAAGAGCATCCCCGAGCCTTCGGCAACGATGGGCGAGCGATCGTTAGTGTCCCCGGAAGCGTCCCATCGGAATCCGATACGTTCAAGTATCTCTCTTTTATCGAGAAAATCTATACTATATTACAAAATTAAACTTTTCTCTACTCTCG